CATAAGGGATGCATGCTCTAGAAATTATGAAAAGAAGTTGTCATTCCAGTAACTCTTCCAACTAATTAATCTTACACCGAAACCACTTTTCATGCGATAATCAAGTTCTTGATAAGTTGATTGCTGAGTGTCCCATGTTACCTTTGCTAAAGTTGCTGTGGAAATTCTTTCACAAATAGCTTCGTCAACAGCTTGATAAATGAAAAATAAAGCCATTTTGTCTTTCTTGCGATTCTCCTTTAATTCATTATTTTGTTGTTGAGCAAAAGTAGCTTGATCTTCGGGTTCAACAAATCCATTCTCAACAATTTCCCATAAGTCTTGGAAACCATATAAAAAGCTTTTATTTGTTGACTCCATTGACTATAATTCTTCCNTTCATTATTTTGTTGTTGAGCAAAAGTAGCTTGATCTTCGGGTTCAACAAATCCATTCTCAACAATTTCCCATTAAGTCTTGAAAACCATATAAAAAACTTTTATTTGTTGACTCCATCGACTATAATTCTTCCCATCGATGCTAGGAAGTTGAGGTCGCAACATGTTGTTGTTGGATGTCATATCATAACCCCGCTATGATACCAATTTGTTGGGAGGGTATGATGAGTCTCAAACAAATTGAAGAAAATAACATTTTAGATACAAATTTAAGAGAAGAAAATTGTTCTTTCAAAACTCAACTTTCATGATTTTACATTTTTTATGATGATCAAATATAACAAATGAACAACACTTTTTATATTATATTGGGTACATAAGAATTAATCGCTAATAGATAAACTTAAAACACCCATTCAAGAGTCCTAGATATATGAACATAACTAAATTCATCCACAATTACTCTAAATGTATGTAGATCAAGATTCATTGATTCTAGATTAATATTTTGACAATATTTGCCAGTAAAATGACTCAAAGGCATGTTTAGTATGCCGGAATGGACAGACTAGCGAACAAGTGTAGGGCATATAGAATATTTGATCTGATTTAGAGGATACACACACACAAACAAACAACAAAAATTTGAAGTATAAAGGGATAGAAATGATAAGTTGAAGATTTTGCCAATAACTGAATCCAACTTATTAATCTTACACCATAAACACTTTTCATGCAATAATTACAGACACTCCAAAGGTGTCATATTCAGATTTGGTTGATGGTTTTTTAAAGCAGATATAGAATAATCTTTATTTTTTGATTTCATATGAACCTTAGAGTCGTTCCAATGTGGCTAAAACCTCTGCCATACGCGGCCTGCTTCTAGGATTATCACTTACGCACTGCAAAGCAAGATTTAAAACTGTAACTGCTCCTTCCAGAGGGTACTGGCCTTCCAATTTGGGGTCCACCACTCGATTCACTTCTTTCTTCTTAGACAAATATGATCTTGTCCAATCCACTAGCACCTGTTCGTCATCAGCAGATATTTCAAAACCCCAACGGCCAGATAGTAATTCTAGCAAAACAACTCCAAAGCTATATACATCACACTTTTCAGTCAGATGGCCTGTTCATTAACACGGAGTTTAATATGTCTACATTAATGATAATATGATCTTGAAGTGAAAAAGGAGTAGAGAATTAATATTTTGTCGTGCCAAACCTGTAGCAAGGTATTCCGGTGCAATGTAGCCACTTGTACCCGTAACTTGAGTGGACACATGAGTCTCATCATCAGGTGGCCCATCTTTAGCGAGACCGAAGCCGGACAACTTGGCATTAAAATCCTGCCCCCATAATGTAACAAGATATTACTTTTTCTATGCAAACAACTACCTTTAGGTGAAACCAAGACAAAAAGACAAAAAAAGTTATCCAAGGAACAAACCTCATCCAAAAGAATGTGAGCAGACTTCAAATTTCGATGTATCACTTTGTTTTTAGCATCGTGCGAGAAAGAAAGGCCTCTAGCAGTATCAACAGCTATCTTGATTCTAGTAGACCAAGAAAGACACTGATGGCCTAAAATCATTACCAAATGTCACCCATTGTTATTGGATATATATTCTAATGTGGCCTCAAAATTTCTGGAAAATCATCACAAGATCCTATATGATGTAAACCCTTGGATTCAATTATACATCATTATTGGTGTGGAGTAAATTTTTACACATACCAACTTGAAACGCAAGAACCACTACCAAACTTAAGTTTTAAAAGGTTAAGCGAGGCATAGGAGTAGAAAATGTTTTCTTATTTTTAATATTACTTTAAATTTTTAACCATTCTAAAAATTATTTAATTATTAAAATAATACATAACAAACATCTAAAATTACAAGAAACTATATTTACTAAACTATTCTTATAATTAGTTAATTTTCAAATTTTCAAAATGCAAAAGCGAAACTATTTTCGCAGTTTCAACTAGATAAGTCATACTTAATAGATTTATTTGAATTTCATAAATACTTTTGAAGTTTTCAACTAAACGATAATTCTCAAAATCATAATTACATAACGTAGATAGCACAGTCTTTATCGGATAAAGTCATTTTCTACTTTTGTACAAATAAAGTCATTTAAAAACTAGAAACTAAGTTATATAAAAGGCTTTTAAAAAGGGAAAAAAAAAATAAACTAAAGTCAAATAAAAGGCTTTTCAAAAAAGGAAAAAAAAAATAAAAAATTTACCCCTAGTAGCACATTAAGCGGTTAACTTCGTAGTTGATAGCTTAATTTCCCTCTTACTGCCAAGGCATAACGTTTCGCCAGCGCATTGTGTCTAGGCGGCGCCAACACACGTTTTTAGAACACTGGGAAAGACACATCCATAATCCCCGTACATTTAAAGTTGTGATGCACAAAGTGTTTTTTAGAAGCCATGACCAGAAATTTATCAGCTAAGCATTCCGTAACTATATCAAGTAATGTCTTTCTGTATTGGTCTACTGAAGGAGCAAACTACTAAAAATATTGAAATGATCGTAGATCCTCACTGGAACTAATGAAACATATAATATTTTAAATTATATCCAAGAGTTAGTCATGGATATCCTATAAATATGAAACAAGTAGAAGAAATGGCATACAGCTGGTACACAAAGGTAATGCTTCACGGAGTATTAAATAACAATTATGACAAGGGAATAATATATTTAAGAGTTGTTCATAAATAGAAAAAATATTAAGCAACCATGCATCAAATAATAAGTTATTTAAGTGAAACCTACTTCTGAACAAGTGATTGTCCAGGCTTCCTTTTGGCATGAACTCATATACCAAAAGAAGGTTGTCACCCTCGGCGCAGAAAGCAATAAGTTTAATCAGGTTCGGATGACGAAAATACCCCAGATGTTTAACTTCTGTCTGCAAAATGTGGGTGGTTACTGAAAGTTTTTCATAACTATGTCATAAGACTCACAAAGACTGCAAAAAAGAACCTACCAACCATTCTTCCTTGAACCGTTTAATACCATTGGGATTCCACTTTTTGATAGCAACGGTCATTCCAGATCCCGGATTTGTAGAGGTAAGAGTCTGCTCGTTGATCCATCCCTTAAAAACAGGACCAACTCCTCCTTTCCCTAAAATGCGGTCAGGTCGAAAGTTTCTGGTCGCTTTCTTTAATTCTTCGAACCGAATGGGCTTAGCATTAGCATTAGGCTGTCCATCTTCAGATCTTGGCTTAGGGAGGCTCTCACCACTACTTTCTCCACTATAGAAAGGAATACTTGAGCTCGAGGAAGCTGAAGAATTGCAGGATTNGTTGCTAGTAAAATATTTTAGCAATTATCACTCAAACAAGACAAGAGGCTGAACGTTCGAAGCACAATTTTAAAACGGCCAACTTGGTGGTGAAAAGGAGAGGAAAAAAAGAACATAGAAGTTTCATAACTAATTTTCATATGTTCTTTAATATCTCTCCACATTTTGTCAAACATTAAAAAGGGCATCAGAACTTCATAATCGTGTGATTTATACTAATTTTCCTAATTTACAGGACATGCCATTGAGGAAGTGAAATCATCCTGTGCGAATGAAACATAAAGAACAGAACATTATAACCCACTCAAAATTTCAGACTTATGCAAAGTAATCTACTGAAATATATTTGAACACTCACCTTACTAGTAATCAAACGTACAATACCCAATTTAATAATAATAATAATAATTTAATTTAATCCCTCTAAAGAAACTTAACAGAAAAATCAGGACTAATCTAAGGCGCAAATGAAATTGCAAAACAGGACAAATAATGTAGAGATAAAAGCAATTAGGGTCAATCCTTAACCAAATAATTAATA